CAATGATGGGTCGATACTCGATGAACACGGAAAGCCCGTGGCTAGGTCGGTTCGTTGAGTAAAATAATTTTTTTTTTTATTCGCATGATGAAATATTACGAAAATATGAAGTCTGAGAATAGAAAAAATAAAGACAAAAATTTGATATGATCATTATCATTATTATACTAATTAACTTTACATTTCATATTGTCTTCGGTAAAAAACATATCTATTCTTCTAAACGCGAGGTGATGCAATATCTTAAATATAAGGATGGTTAGTTCGTATTATTTTTATTTTTATTTTTTTTACTATAATTTACAATCTTACCTCTCTCATTTAATACACCAGCAGAGATCTCTTCGCGAGTTTCTAAATTATCTATCTAGGCTTGCTGATTAGCGATGATCCGTTCGTTTAAAGCCCGTTCATAATAAAAATCATTATTTAACGTAAGAATTTGTCGTTGAAGTTCTTCATTTTCGTTTGTCAATTCATTGATTTTTTGTTTAAATTCTTCTTTTTCTTGGTTTATTTTGTTGATAATACTAGATACGATAGTTTGTGTATTCTGATATCGTTTGATTCTTTCTTTTTGTTCTTTCGCTTCATCTATAATATTTTGTAATTTTTCAAGTTTAGATTCTAATTCGTATATATCAAATTGTTAGGATTCTATAATGGGAAATTTAGCAATTTCCGGATAGATCTTTGGAAAATTATAACTGATTTATCATTATTTTTTATTAAGTTTTGTAAGAATTATTGAAATTATATTAAAAAATTTATTAAAAAATCGATTATTTAATTTTAAATAAAATTTGGCGCATACATATTTCGAAGCGAGTTTATTACATGATTTTGAAAATTGTTATAGATATAAGAAAATTCGACTTTTAAAATGTTCTAACTCCCGTTCTAGCAAAGTAAATTTAATTTTACAATTTGCAAATAACAATAAAATAGCATAGTTTTAAATCTATATGACCATATTTTATATTAATATGTGAATTTTGGAGATCTCTGTAGTTTAAACATACAAATAACGAATATTTTACTATAAAAATTTATTTATTTATAATTTTAGATAAATTAATACAATAAATTAGAAAAAATCTTTACATAGATTTAAAGCTATGCTATCAATATACCATTTACAAATTCAGAATTAAATTTTTTTTATTAGAACAATAAAATACACCGATTTTATAATAAAATTACTAAGTAAATTTTTTCAAAAAAATTATCGACAAAATTTCAAAAATCTTACTTAGTGCGCTAATCATATAGTGCTGCACTATGTTTGTAAATCATATAGAGTCTTACACCCCAACGTGTCATTATTCTCATCGATTTTTAATATTTTTAACGATTTTAATATTTTTAACGAACATTTTATATTTTAATTTAATTTATTTTAATTAAAACTGTATAAATGTGATATGATAAAGTTTAAATGTTAAATTTATTCGTACGATTGATAATTTTTTTAAAAGATCAATGTATTATCATATTTAGTTAATCATGTTTTAAAATAAATTTAAGTTGACGAAAAGTCAACAGATCGAAAAGATGGCAAAGCAAAGATATGCCTGCCACGTTGCGCAACCAGAATACTAGCTGATACCAGTAAAGGACTAAATTGGGAATTCATCAAACATCGCACATACGTTCTTGAATTTAATTAGTTTCCTATTTGGAACTTATTAAATAAGCACTAACAATATCCCTAGTAATAGGTCGGATATAAGAACGGCTGTTACGGCAAGCATGAACAACGCCTCACCATATACAAGGAGTAATCCTGCCATTTTGTAGTAGCTTTCAGTGTGAAAGACCACCGGCTAATGCTACACAGCACGAATTCAGCTGATAATGGTGATACCCGGCGCAATTACGCTATTTCTGAGAGCTTATCCCGTCTCAGTTTTGTACATCAATTGCACCGATGTATACTGCATATTCTCAATAAAAAATCACTTAATAAAGTTTAATATCTGGCGCTATTAGCCAGATGCTTCCAATTAAGAATCGGTATTACGAATAGTAGTGGTGTATGGTATAAAACTAGCATACTATACGTACTCATATAATATATATATATATATATATATACATATATGAGTATAGTATGGTCGTAAATAATTTAATTGTGTGACCTTCGTTGAAGTTCAAATACTTGAGGGGAGGGTGTGACCAATTGTCATGTGACGAATAAGAATTGGCTATATATTCTATATAACTGATTCTTATTCGTCACGTTCATAATTGGTCACCCCTCAAGTTGAAATTCAATAGAAATTTATTTATCATATGGTTAACAAAAATAAAGACTTTTATGACATCGCTCTTACAAAATTAAGTTTTTTTTACGGGATCGTACGAATTGCTCTCACAAAATCAAATTTTATACAGAATTTTACATGTTGTTTTAAAGTTTTACGAGTACTGATCTTTTCTTTAGCTGTTAAATTCTTAGAAATATTTTTGAACTTTCTGAATCAGGTTCCACAGAAAACTGATCTTTTTCATGATATTAAAATTTAAAAATTTCATTATAATAATTATTTTCTATAAAAAAAATTTTCTCTGAAATCGTTATTAAAACTATCACAAAGAATTATTTTCGATTATTTTGTTGATAAAATAAAAATTTGTAAAGACGATTAAAAAAAAAAAGAAAAGAATAATTGCTACACATCATTTTCACCATTTAACGGTCATTTTAGACTTTGGCTGTTTTCATAAATCCTGGGACACTCAGTGTATAGGGTGTGAGAAATCATTTTTATGACGAATAAACATTTGCTATAAATTTTACATGAAAATGCTTATTCGTCACAACAATGTTTGCATTTGCATAAAGGTTATAATCATACTATACAGCTATACACAATATGTTCTTCAATACTCAGTTGTGACATCACCAACCATACACACATGTTTACTTGTTTAATAATGTATTACTACTATTCGTATTACTCATTAAGAATATATCATTGTGTGCGACTCACTACATGATTTGTGAATGTATTTAACATACATAGTATAATTTATTAAGTAAAAATTCGAGTGATCTTAATAAATTATACTATATGTATGTCACAGATATCATGTAGTGAGTCATTTATTTTATTTTTTTTTTATGATTACGTAATAGAATAAATTTAACATTTTAAAACTTTATCATATCATATTTATACGGTTTTAATTAAAATGTTCGTTAAAAATATTAAAATTGATGACAATAATGACACACATTCGTCCTAATAGACTTATAAGAAATAATTCAAATTCCGTTCAAAACTTAAATAATTTTTACGAAAGACATATTCAATATTTAAACAGAGAAAAATCTCGATTTGAATTACTTCAAGGAAAATAATATCAGAGGTAATGACTTAGAATCTAAACTTGAAAAATTACAAAATATTATAGATGAAGCGAAAGAACAAAAAGAAAGAATCAAACGATATCAAAATACACAAATTATCGTGTCTAGTATTATCAACCAAAGAAACCAAGAAAAAGAAGAATTTAAACAAAAAATCAATAAATTGAAAAACAAAAATAAAGAACTCCGACGACAAATTCTTATGTTAAATAATGATCTTTATTACGAACGGATTTTAAACGAACGAATCATCGCTAATCAGCAAACCCAAATAGATAATTTAGAAACTCGCCGTTTGAGGAGAATGAATGCATTTTTTATTACCAACAATATAAGCGTTCATATTTCTACTCTAGGAAGACCACTAGGATTGGATTTTTTATTATTATATTACATATTCGAAAATGTAATGAAATAATTAAATTTTTAAAAATATCGAATTATTTAATTTGTTGTTGGTCTAGTTTTATTTTTAATCCATTTTTTAACTATAGCAGATAGTTTAATCATTTTTATTTTAATAATTTGGTGTTTTTTTTTATTCCATATTTGATATGAATTATAATTACCAATTCTAGTTTTTATGTTTGTCTG